TTTTTATACTACATTTATCCATTTTAAATATACTAACCTCACACTTTTGTAACGACTAAGGCAAAAATGTAATTAAGTTAATTCAGAAAATCTTTTCAGGACCCCACCTTGATGTTTCGGGACCCCACTTTGGGTCCCGACCCTAACTTTGGGAAACAATAAACAATAAAGTAGTGACAATAAAATAATATCAAAAACAAAAAGAACACATTCTGCCTCCTATATTTAACAAATATTGACATCTCTGACTTGCCAGCTTTTTCTTACTTTTGTAATTTTATCAACAGCTTGTAGTTTTAACTGTCCTGGATAATCATAGAAATATTTTTACCAGCTTCTAACTTAGATTAATTAAAGTAGAAAATCGGGGGTTTGGGCTTAAGAGATGAATGAACCAATTGGCGGGCCGAGCTTTGGTCACTTGCRGTCCGTATGTGGCCCACGGACCTCCAGTTAAATAGCCCTGGCTTATGGTTTGATTAGTCGCTCCTGAAATCACCTCACCACAAATACACATAGACCATTTGAAATGTTAACACATCAGTGACAAATGACTATTTTTTACCTTAAACTCTTTGTTCAGTCAGTTTAAAGTTAAGGTCTTGACCTCTTATACATCATATTGAAATCTGTAGGATTAATAAATGTCTTTATTCATGTGACTTAATATTTTTACATGCATAAATAATGAGGTCACATCTGCTGTCATGCAGAGAATGCACACTTTTTCTTTTTTTTTTTCTTTTTTAATCAAGCCGAGGGCTGAAATCCAGCTTCAGGTTTAGAGGGAGGGGTGCTACCCCCAGAGGGGTGTTTTCCTAAGGCCAGTTTTATGGCTCTGATGCTTTTTCCAGATCAAACGTGGGCTTGAAACGCAGAGAGAGAGGTGGCACAGTGCCAGGAAGCTGCTTCTTGACTTCAGGTTCTGCAGACGTACCTGGGTTTTATGATGTTACAGATCGCCAAAAATGACCTGCAGAACTTTCTATTTCCTTCCAGTCAAATGTGATCATTTAAAAAGTTTTTTTTCTCTTTTTTTTTTTGCCTGATTGATACGGAGCCCGCGAGGGGACATGGGAGAAAAAATAAAGAAAAACGGATCCTGACTTTGGTTCTCAGGATCCTGAGAACGAAAGTTAGGATCCCGAGAACGAAAGTCAGGATCCTGAGAACCAAAGTCAGGATCCG